TCTCTCTCCTGTCATGTTAGGCAGGCACATTGGGTAAGTTAAAGGGGGGGGTCTCATTCAGGGGGGCCAGTGTGCCCATGGTGGGTTAGCAGTGGGGTGCAGTGTGCCCATGGTGGGTTGGCAGTGGGGTGCATTGTGCCCATGGTGGGTTGGCAGTGGGGTCCCCTGTGCCCATGGTAGGTTGGCAGTGGGGTACAGTGTGCCCATGGTGGACTGGCAGTGGGGTCCAGTGTGCCCATGGTGGGCTGGCAGTGGGGTCCAGTGTGATCAAGGTGGGCGAGTGTTGGGGTCCAGCCCCAGCAGGTCCAGGGGTTCCCAATGGCGTGGACGGAGTTGGCGAAGAAGGAATGACACGGAGGCAGCGTTCAGGTGATCATCATAGCCAGGTTTCTCTCTCCTGGTTCTAACCAGGATCTCCAGCCAGGTTCTCTAGTCAGGATCTCCATCCAAGTTCTGACTAGGTCGGGGGGGGGGGCAAACTTTTTGTCTCAAGGGCCACAATGGGTTCTTAAACTGGACCGGAGGGCCCGAACAAAAGCATGGATGGAGTGTTTGTGTGAACTAATATAAATTCAAAGTAAACATCATTACATAAAAGGGGACGGTCTTTTTTTTTTTTTAGTTTTATTCATTTCAAACGGGCCGGATCCGGCCCGCGGGCCGTAGTTTGCCCACGGCTGGACAAGAAAAAAGGGCTGGGGTGCATGGGCTGGCAGTGGGGTCCAGTGTGCCCATGGTGGGCTGGCAGTGGGGTCCAGTGTGCCCATGGTGGGCTGGCAGTGGGGTCCAGTGTGCCCATGGTGGGCTGGCAGTGGGGTCCAGTGTGCCCATGGTGGGCTGGCAGTGGGGTCCAGTGTGCTCATGGTGGGTTAGCAGTGGGGTCCAATGTGCCCATTGTGGGCTGGCAGTGAGGCCCAGTGTGCCCATGGTGGGCTAGCAGTGGGGTCCATTATGTCCATGGTGGGTTAGCAGTGGGGTGCTGTGCGCCCCTGGTGGGTTAGCAGTGGGGCCCAGTGTGCCCATGGTGGGTTAGCAGTGGGGTGCTGTGCGCCCCTGGTGGGTTAGCAGTGGGGCCCAGTGTGCCCATGGTGGGCTAGCATGGTGGGTTAGCAGTGGGGCCCAGTGTGCCCATGGTGGGCTAGCAGTGGGGCCCAGTGTGCCCATGGTGGGCTAGCATGGAGTCGTACATTAATTATATCAGAAGAGGAAAGGGCTCTTTAAATCAGGCCTGGGAATTGCCCGTCACCGCACTTTATTAAATCATTCCCAGTAGCTCTGTCGGCCTGTCCTGAGCACTGAGGACGGGGAGGGCTGCTAATGTCTTGGTTGACCAGAAAAGCGAGTGTGCCGGGAGGAGCACACATGGAGGAGTGAGTTTAAAGTTTAGTGTCTCCGTCACCTTACGTGGAACGGTTGGAGAATTCCCCTGAAGTGACTGATGGACCCTAAGCAGACACTGTGAGCACATCGATCACGTCTGATCAGGACAGAAAAGAAGGAGTAAAATAAGGGAAGAACTCACTTCCCTTTCAGTTGCTCAGAGCAGGTTTCACGTGGATGACTCGCCTTTACAAACAGGCCGCAGACGTGTAGCCTTTGATTTTATCGTTGGGGGAGGAGGGGTCATCTGCTCTCTGTGCCGCGGATTTGTGTGTGCGTTCAATGATATTTTGCTTTAATTTTTAAAATTAAGTTTAGGAGAAAGGCTTCTGATGTCAGTCATTTGATAGAGAAAGGAATAAAAATTCCCTCTCCCCTTTCCCCTTTCTTCTCTCTCCCTCTCCCCCCTCTCCCTCCCTCCCTCCCCCTTTCTTTCCTTCCTTCTTAGAACATTATTTTACATTTGTATGCTGCTTTACTTGTCTTTGTTTCTCTTAAAAATATATTTTTATTGACTTCAGAGAGGAAGGAAAGGGAGAGAAAGATAGAAACATCAATGATGAGAGGGAATCATGGATCAGCTGCCTCCTGCACGCCCCCCATTGGGGATCGAGCCTGAAACCCGGGCATGTGCCCTGACTGGGAATCGAACTGTGACCTCCTGGTTCATAGATCAACGCTCAACCACTGAGCCACGCCGGCCGGGCTCTTTAATTGTTTCTTCACAAATGCCCTTCCAGGGCGGTGGCGCAGCAGGCCCATTTTGGGGATAAGGAAACCGAGGCCCACGCCTTAGATGACGCAGCCACGCAATGGTGGTGAAGCTTGGATTCGAACCCAGTCTCCTGGCTTCTCCTTCACTGCAGGGCCGTTACACCCGGAGCCTGTAAGAAAGGAGATGCGCTCATGAGCTACAATGGACCCTTTGATGTCCCTCCACATTTTTCCCTCAAGAGCTGAATCCCCCCCAAATACCTCGAACCAGGGAAGGCCTCCTGGTCTGCACTGAGGGCCACAGGGTGCTGCGTCTCCACTCGCTCTCAGCTGCCATCAGGCAGGGCCTGGGACCCTGGGCTCTCCCATCGGAGGCAGCGTCTCCCGTGAGCCACAGGACGGCCGGCATTCCCAGGGCGCACAGTCACGTGAGGACACCAGCATCCTGTCGCTGCCCCGTCCCCGGGGAGGGAAGCAGGCCCCGGACGGGTGTCAGTGGTGAATGTGCTCTGCAGGTCGGCTGCTCTGTCCCAGCAGGTGCAGGACTCCCTAGGATGTGGAGTCCCTCTGGCAGCCTCACTTCTGCTCTCCCCATCACGCCTCCGGCTGGTGGATTCTGAGGAATCTTCTTTTTGGCCATGACTTGCCTGGGAGACACGTTTCAGGAACTTAATAGACATGTAAGGCTTAAAGGTAATCCCAGGACTGCTGGGATGGAGGCAAAAATAATGCCAAGTGGACTTTCTGGTTAGGTGATCTGACCTCGCCTTGACCAGTTTCTACTAAGCTGTTTGTTAAAAAATCGGTGAACTTTGCCCAGCCGGTGTGGTTCAGTGGTTGAGCACCAACCTATGAACCAGGAGGTCACGGTTCGATTCTTGTTCAGGGTCCAGGCCCGGGTTGTGGGCTCGATTCCCGGAGGGGAGTGTGCAGGAGGCAGCCAGTCGATGATTCTTTCTCATCATTGATGTTTCTCTGTCTCTCTCCCCCTCTCCCTTCCTCTCTTTGAAATGAATGAAAACATATTAAAAAAAATTTAAAAATCGGTGAACTTAGACATCAGTGCACAGGCTCAGGATGGGCCCCATCCTGTCATAGAAATGGTCTGTCTGCCCTGCCACCTTAGGTATCGCGTGTCTTTGCAGCCCTCATGCCTAGGCTGGTGCCTGGCACATAGTAGGTGCTCAACACCATTGGACTGAATTAGCATCTTAACAGAGAGCTGGTCAGGGCGTCAGCGCTGTCCCTGTCCCAGGACCCGAGTCTCCAGAGCTGCGTGTGTGGCTTCAGCTCGACTCCGCTCAGCTCAGGCCCAGGGCAGGTGGGCGTTCCCATAGGTAGCACGTTTGGCCGTGGGGAGGGGGCCGGTCATGAGCCCTGGCGATGTCCATGTGCCGTTGCCAGGCGTGGGTCAGTCCCCCTCTGAGATGTGCCTTTGTGCCCTGAAGAGGCGACTTCCATGCGTTCACTTAATGGGACCCCAAATACCAGCTCAAACAAACCTCTCCTCGCGGCTCCGTTGGAACACACTTCAAACGCTGCATGAAAGGCCGGTCACTGCACAGGCCCTTAACGATGACACTAATCATGTGGGTTTTCCTCCGAGGCCCGACGTGCGGAGGCGAGGAGCAAATCGCGGAGCTAACTTTTATGTCCGGGCTCATTGATCTGCTCGCTTCGGGGAAGACACCAGCCCCGAGAGGTGGCGGTCGGGCTACCTTTTCTCCTACGTAATTGGGCACCAGGGCGCGCTCTTCCCGCTTTATGTGAATAGGGGGGCAAAGAGCCTGCCGTGCGGTTTCTGTAATAAGCCCAGGGCACGCCGCATAGGCCGCCCGGCAATTGTAAATGCACCTGCTCCCCCACAGCCCACGGAGGCTGGTGCTGCGGTCATCGGGCACATCGTCATTCATCACGTGAAGGGCCCATGCGTGTTCCATGCACCTCAGCCCACGCCTGTCCCGTTCCCTGTTCCCTAACAGGTGAAGGTCATGCTGCGCATCTGCTCCACGCTGGCCCGTGACACCTCCGAGTCCAGCTCCTTCCTGAAGGTGGACCCCCGCAAGAAGCAGGTCACGCTGTACGACCCCCTGGCGTGCGGCGGTCAGAGCACCTTCCAGAAGAGAGGCAGCCAGGTGCCTCCCAAGATGTTCGCCTTTGACGCGGTTTTCCCGCAGGACGCTTCTCAGGTGGGTGCGGACCCCCCTCCCCCTCCCCCCTTCCCCAGGGCCAGGCAGTGCCCAGTCAGTTCCCGGACCCATACGCTGGAGGTGGCACCCAGAGCGCCCTCCACCTACGAGAGCCCAAGTGGGCTCCATTGGACAGTCCGTTCTTTTGAGTAACTGGAGTTACACTGTGGGCAGGACCACTGTGCCAGGATTTCAACAAGACAGATCCCTGGGGAGAAGGAGGGGCGAGCCAGCCAGTGGGTGCCGCCCGGAAGCGGGTGGTGGTGGAGAGAGTTGGAAGTTTCAGGACCACACCCTGGAGACCTATTAGGACCCCGCTCCCGCCCCCACCTCTGGGAGTGGGTGTGTAAGAGGGGAAAAGCATTTCCGGGAGCTGGGTTAGATTTAGGCAGGATCCTAGAAGCTATAGGAGGCCGGTCTACAGTCCTGACGGGGAACTGGAGCACAGGCAGGGAAACTGAGGCTGGCATGCAGTCCTGTGGCCTGGACCTGTGGAGTGGACAGGAAGAGGGGCGAAGAGGGGGTAGGGGTAGCTGTTGAACCAGTCAGCTATTGCTGCGTTACGAACCACCCTAAGATTCAGCAGCTTAAAGCGATAAGCGTTTACTGCTGCTCATGAGTCGGTCAGCTGAGCGTCCTCCTGCTCCCAGCTTGGCTCACTTCTGTGTCTGTGATCAGCTCTGCTGAGCTAGGCTGGATGCTGTCACGTGCTTGGGGGGTTCTGGAACGGCCTTGGCTGGTCACCTGGTCTCCCTCCACATCGTCTCGTCTTGGACTTGCTCTCGTGGCCGTGGCATGGCCCCAGCCTGCAGCCCTTAGGCCCAGGTTCAGAATGGAAGCCCAGCTCTTGTGCATGTCCCATTGGCCCAGGTTTGAGGGGTGGGGAAGAGACTCCGCCTCTTGATTGGAGGGGCTGCACAGTCACATTGCCAGGGGCATGCACACACGGACGGGTCGGGAATTGTGGCCATTTTTGTTTATCGCTCTGACTATAATCTTGGGAGCTCAGGGTGCCAGGATTGCCAGACCCACGCTTCTGGAGCCCATCCCGGCAGGAGCAGATGTCTGATGGGAGATTAGCTGCACCATCTGGGGCAGTTCCTGTGCAATGAGTTGGAGCAACTGAACCTTCTCGTAGAGACTGCACCCAGGCTGTAGGGATGCAGTGGCCTGCTGAGCCCGCATTTTCACACCAGACACCTGCGCCTCCATGATAAACGCCCAGCGCTTTCCAACACTTACACACGACAGTGTGCAGGAGGGTGGCCGATAGCCTCTAGAAGCGGGGACATTCTGGCCGCCATTTGCACTTCCTGTTACTTTCCTCCACGTGCGTCTTGGTGCCGGAAGACGTGATGTCCACACGGGCGTTGGTGGGGGGCCCGTGCTGTGGGCTCCGTTCGTCCACAAGCCGAACCTGTGCTTTCCCCAAAGTGTTTGCCACGAAGAGACAACGTGCTCCATGAAGAAGTTCTATGGTTTCCCTCTTCCTTGCATAGGTTGTGTTTTGTACCACCCCCTGGGCTCCCCCATCTAGACCTGACAGTGGGTCCAACAAATGGCCCACAAATCATTTAAATAACACAGCGAACACTTTCCAAGCAGATCTCCCCAAGTTGTAAGAATTCCAACGCAAACCCTGAACTCAGCTCGGACTACAAGTGCACGTCAGATTCATTCCAGGGAAAGGCACCTTTCTTGCTAGTCTTTATTTACACTCATGCTCGGTTCAGAGCTCGCATGCTCGATGGGACAGAGCATTCTCTTTAGATGCTTAATGTTTGCTAACATTTCCAACATTAGCATCGGTGACAGTTCGAGAAAATCCAGTGTCAAGAAGTTTCCTCTAACTTGACCCACTCATCTTCCCAGAAGGCTCTGGTGTCGGAAGGGAGGCACTGCTTGTTCACATCCGGATGAGGAAACTGGGACTCGGGGCTGACGTCTTGTTCATGACCCCTTCCCTGCGCGGGCGTCTTTCCCAGCCCCTCCCCTGGACCTCTGTGTGTCCAGCTCTGTCGGGGGTTTATCTGTGACCACCTGTCATTCACCCATGTGTCCCAGCAGCGTGTCCGTAGACAGTCACAGTGTCCCCATCTGTGGATGGAGACGGAGCCAAAGTGCACCTCCTTCAGGCTGTGTTGGTTTGTGGAATGAATGCACACGGGAGACTTAGAACCTAGTCCAGTGATGGCGAACCTTCTGAGCTCGGTGTGTCAGCATTTTGAAAAACCCTAACTTAACTCTGGTGCCGTGTCACATATAGAAACTTTTTGATATTTGCAACCATAGGAAAACAAAGATTTATATTTTTGATATTTATTTTATATATTTAAATGCCATTTAACAAAAATCAACCAAAAAAATTGAGTTCGCGTGTCACCTCTGTGTCATAGGTTCGCCATCACTGACCTAGTCAGTGCCCAGCACACGTGAGCTGCTGTTGCTGTTCAGTCATCACTGTTGCCCCTGACGTCGAGCTGCTGCCCGTGGCCAGCCCCAGCCTCCTGGGCGAGTGCCCTTCGAGCCCCCACAGCAGGGAAGCCGGCGGTGCACGAGGCGGGCTCTGCCAAGGCCTGGCTACCGGCCTGTGGGTCTGCAGGGGCCCTGAGCGGCCCAGACAGCGATGAATTGTGCTTTCTCTCCTCTCTAAGGACATTAGCTTTTTTTAAACAAAATGTTTTAAATATTTTTGTATTGATTTCAGAGAGAGGGAGATGGAGAGAAACATCAGTGATGAGAGAGAATCATTGATCGGCTGCCTCCTGCAGGCCGCACACTGGGGATCCAGCCTGCAACCCAGGCATGTGCCCTGACCAGGAATCGAACTATGACCTCTTGGTTCAAGGGTCAACGCTCAACTACTGAGCCACCCCGGCAGGGCAGGACACCAGCTTCTTGACCCTAAGCAATGACAGAACCTTCTTGCTCCTGTTGCCTTTATTAGCAGCCTATGTCCTTCAGTGGCCGTGGCTGTCGCGGCGGGGCAGCCCTGCTGGTCTGGCTTCGCGGAGGGGACCTAGTCCCTCTGGGTGGCTCATAACAACAGAAATGCATTTCTCACGTTCTGGAGGCTGGAAGTCTGAGCTCAGAGTGTCTGGCAAGAGCCCCTTCCTGGTTCATAGACAGCGGCTGGCTGTGACCTCACAGGGTGGAAGGGACCCAGAGCCTGGGGTCTTCTCTCCTCATCCCATTCACGAGGCTCCACCCCATGACCTCATCGCCTCCCAGAGTCCCCGCCTCCTGACACCATCATAGGTGCCTGGAGGGGACAGATCCGGGCCTGCAGGAGGGTGGAGAGGGCTCCCCTGTGGGAGAGCAGGGCTGCCTGGGGCCTGGGCCCTCCCCGCTCTGGGCTCAGGAGGGACACCTGCACCTCTGGGCCCCAGGAAAGCAGCCTGTGGCCCCAGGGGCTGCGGGCAGCTCCTAACAAACCCCAGGTGGACAGTCACTTGCCACACTTCTCGGTGGACACAGGGCAGGGACTCGTCCTGTCCTGTGCGTGGAGGCCCCTCCTGCCTCCTCTATGCCCTGTCGTCCACACGCAGCCTGCATGCTCCCTGCTGACCTCGCGTCCGTGCCGTTGATCTGGGGGATAGATGGGGGGGCTCTCAGCCTCCAGCCTCTGTTGCCCCCATGTCCCAGGAAGGCAGAGTCGCTCAGCCTCTGGCAAATTCCACCGAGATTCTACAGCCCCCGGCTCGCAGGGCCCAGGTCCCGGGGGTGTGATGGATCCTGGGGTCCCCACCCCTGTCAGCCCCGTCCGGCCCTCCTCCCCTGGCAGTGCCCCCAGCAGGGCTGCCCTGGCGACACCGGGACAGCCACAGCTGCTGGGAGTGTGGCTTTGCATCTTGGGCCGGGAGAGCAGGTTGCGCTCTGAATACTTGGTTCTCGGTGCCGCGGCGACCTGGCGCTGGACAGCCCGTTCATGGCGAGGCCGCGGTTCCCGACGCCACCGGAGGCCGTGGCGCTGGCTGCAGAGCAGCCTTGGGTTCGCGCAGCCCCCGGATGCTCCCGAGAGATCTGGCTCCGCGCTGGGATGGAGAGGAAGGCGGCGGGCAGAGCGAATCCCTCTGGTCCCCGGCTGCTGTGAGCTTGGCCCGACCAGGGTGTGTCCCGGAGCTCCTGCGTGGTCCCCAGAAGGGACCGAGGCCCTAGGGGTGACAGGGCGCAGCGCAGGAGTGTTAGTGGGAGATGCACAGGGTCTTCAGGAGCCTGCCCCCCTGCTGCCCCCCTCTCCCTGACCCCCCCCTCCTGTCTTAGGATTAGCGTGTTTTATTTGTGGGGGAATTGTATACGTTGACTGTACGGGTACAGAAAGAAAGCAAAGGCTGAAAAGAAGGATTGAGAAAGAGGAGGGAGATGGGGAGAGAATGCAGACATCACCAACCGCCTGCTTAGACTGGAATGACAGTGATTCTCAAGGTCACCTTCCTGAAGTGGCGGGTCACCCTTCCCTTCTAAAAGGCTGGCCCAATTTATAAGGCGGGGGGGTGTGCACGGTCACCTTCCTGAAGTGGCGGGTCACCCTTCCCCTCTAAAAGGCTGGCCCGGTTTATAAGGAGGTGGGGGGGGGCGTGTGCGCGTGAGCGTGTGTATGTGTGTGTGAGTGTGTGTGTGTGTGTGAGAGAGTGCGTGTGCATGTGAGCTTGTGTGTGTGTAAGGAAGAACCTACTTAGCAGAGAGCAAATGGAAAGTTTAAATGCCTTGTCCGGAGGCCAGAATAGTGTCGGGCGGGCGTGAGGTCCATGACGGCTCCTGTCCCCTCCCCGGCTCCTGCTGGTCTGCGGAGTGTGAATGTGTGTGTGTGAGTGCGTGTGTGTGAACGTGTGTATGTGTGTGTGTGAGTGTGTGTATGTGTCTGTGTGTGTGTGAGTGTATGTGTGTGTGAGCGTGTGTGTGTGTGAGCGCATGTGTGAGCGTGTGTATGTGTGTGTGTGAGAGCGTGTGTATGTGTGTGAGCGTGTGTATGTGTGTGAGTGTGTGTGTGCACGTGTGACCTTGTGTGCGTGCCTGTGCATGTGTGCGTGTGTGTGAGTGCATGCATGTGTGTGCCTTTGTGTGCGCGTGCATGTGCCTGTGCGTGCGTGTGTGTGAGCGGGCGTGTGTTTGCCTGTGTGTGTGATTGTGTGTGCGTGTGTGCGTGCGAGTGCGTGTGTGTGAGTGTGTATGTGTGTGAGTGTGTATGTGTGTCTGAGCGTGTTTGTGTGTAAGGAAGGATCTAGTTAGCAGAGAGCAAATAGAAAGTTTAATGCCTCGTCCGGAGGCCAGAATAGCAGCAGGGGCGGGCGTGAGGTCCATGAAGCTCCTGTCCCTCCACGGCTCCTGCTGGTCTGCACTCCGGGAGGTCCGTGACCCCAGCCCGGGAGAGCCGGCTCCTTTATGTCCGCCAGCGAGGCCCACTCACCGCGCTCTCCTTTGTGTCCGCAGGCGGAGGTGTGCGCTGGGACCGTGGCGGAGGTGATCCAGTCCGTGGTCAACGGGGCGGACGGCTGCGTGTTCTGCTTCGGCCACGCCAAGCTGGGTGAGTGAGGCTGAGCTCCCCGTGCGCTGCTCCTGGGGTCCCCTCACCCTGCTCCTCCCGCTGCACCGTCCGGTCCTCAGGCGAGAGCAGAGGCCGTCCCCTGGGTGCCAAGTTAAATGACCCCGAATGAGCATCTCTGCCTCCGAGATGAGATTTCCATTCTGCGTGGATCCCCGTCATCTGGAAAAGCCCTCGAGTTCAGGAGATGAGCAGGGGAGCCGTGGGTGTTCCCATTGGTCCAGGTCAGGCTTATGCCCAGAAAGCCAGAGGACAACATACCCTCCCTGAGCGGGGGCTGCCGGGAGGGTGGGGGCTGGAGGTGGAGCTGACGTAACCGTCAGAGGAGCAGCTCCAAGTGGAGCCCAGGCCACAGCTGCCCCATCGTCGTCGGTTCTGGCGGCCTCACTTCCCCCCTCCAGCCCACCACAGCCTGCCATGCACCTGGGAGGGAGGCAGCTGAACTCCAAGGTGCCTCCTCCACCCTGACCCGTGGCCGCCTGCTCACAGGCCACCCCTCAGGCTGGGGGTTAGTAAGAAGTGTCCCTTGGCCGAGATGCCGCCAGGGGCCCTGGTGCTGGAGGGCAGGTCCAGCCGGAGCAGAGAGCCCCTTCCACCGCCCCTTCTCTTCTCCATCTCTGATCAGAGCCGTGACCAGGTTTAATGGGCTTTGCTCACGCTGTAAAGAGACGCACAGCATTGAGCCTGCGGGGGGATGGAGTGTGAGGAGGTGGGTGGTGAGATGACGCCCAGGAATAGCGAGGAGTCCCTGCCTCCCCCTCTGGGTAAGACAGTGCAGAGCTGGGGCGCGTGTGGCCATGGGGTCCTCCTGGAGGTACCTGGTGACTCAGTCTCGTGCCCTGCCAGGGCTCTGCGGTCTTCACTGTAGCCATTTCATCAGAAGTGCCAGGAAGTGGCCTTTTGTCATTGTCGCCAATGCTGACCATCTCACTCACCGTCATCTCCTCTCTCCCCTCCCGCCTCCTGCCTCCTCGGCACCCATCCTGAGACTGTAGTGACGCCTGGACACTCACACGCCATCTCACCCCCCACCCCCCAGGCAAGTCCTACACCATGATCGGGAGAGACGACTCCACGCAGAGCCTGGGCATCATCCCCTGCGCCATCGCCTGGCTCTTCAGGCTCATCAACGAGCGCAAGGAGAAGACCGGCGCCCGCTTCTCCGTGCGCATCTCGGCCGTGGAGGTGTGGGGCAAGGAGGAGAAGCTGCGGGACCTGCTGGCCGAGGTGGCCACGGGCAGCCTGCAGGACGGCCAGTCCCCGGGCGTGTACCTGTGCGAGGACCCCATCTGCGGCACGCAGGTGACTGACAGCTCGGGGTGGGGCTCGGGGGGGGGCTCCACCCACGTCCAAGGCTGGGGCCGCCCAGGCTGACTCCGGGCGCGGGAACAGGGCGGCTCACGCGTGTTTACGCCCACGTGGCCTGGACCTTCACGGGCGCCAGCTGCAGGGCCATCTGCTCGCCCACCCTAAATATTTCACTC